CTTTACATTTTATGATAATACATAACAGATAGTTGCTTTTATCTTATCTTGATATATAACAGGTAGTTAGTTACTTTACATTCTATATATATATTTAATAGGTATTTACCTTTACATTTTCTGAATATGCAACAGATTGTTGAGTTTGTTTTTTCCTAGGAATTGGCATTTATTCAAAAGTTGAAGTGGATGGTAAATTTCTTAGAAACATTTAAGTTTTTGTCGGGTAAAATATTTTGGGAAAGTACTATAAACAAATAAGTTACTTGTTCAGAAAGCATAGGTGCTTAATTAAATGTAGAATGTAACACATGCTGTAAAAAGTTACTGATTTTATTTTAAAATAAACTCTGTTCCATTTTTTAAAGAATGTTTTGTAATTCAGTTTGTAAAGGTACATTATTTTTGCTAGTTCATGTATTCAGAACTTTCTGATAAAGTTTGATTTATGAAACAGTTTGTAATGAACTTCAGGTAATTATTCATTTTATTCGTTTGCATTATTTAGTAAAGTTGTCAGCAATCAACATTAAACTTTAAGAAAAAGAATTGTAAAATTTAAACATTTCACAGACTAGGTCTTCTTTTGATATTTTATATATCAAAACATTGAACATATATGTCATATGAAAACAAATTACGATCTTGTTTGTATACCATTTGCTACTGGTGAGTTCCACATGTTGCTTTGTACTGAGGAAATTTTTTATTTTTCCATAGAAAAACTGATAAGCAGCGTAAATAACTAACCAAAACCACACAGGAATCAGAAATAACTGGTAGAAGTAACTCCAATATTATTAGTATCATTTGTTTAATTCTTTTTTGTATGTTTCATATGTTATTACTTACCCTGTACACAACAAATTCATGAACCCATAAGTATAATTAGTTGAGGAGAAATAATGTGCATAAAAGGATATCACCCCATTGATAATTATCAGGATTAATATAGTAAAAAACATGTAAAACTGAACTGAAATACATTCCAAAATATTTTTACTGAACCTATCTGAGGAATGTAAATTTAGTTTACTGCAATAATCATTTGATATTTGATATGTACTGTCTTAAATCTTAAAAAGTAATTATTTTTCTTGTTATTTTATCACCTTGTTATGCATAGAATTCATTTTTATGTTGATGTCTTTGTATTCCGTAAATATGAATAGTGATTAAATGAATAAAAAATTACATGAGTTTATCACTTTTAAACTTTTTTCCAAAGTATTTTTGTAATTTTGAGTTTGTAATTAATTAAGACATTTTTCTGTGAATTTTTTTTTGTTTCTTTTGTTACCTTAACAGAATTTAATTTTTTTAATTACTTGCACTTTTTTGTAGGTGGTTTGATGTCTTGTCAAGGTTTCCGTCTAACACAATAAGAGGCAGAAATAAGAGATTTGCAACAATCCCTGGTGGCAAAGCAACTGTGACAAATGTTGGGAAGCATGTATGTATTTCTTTGTTTAACGTTTGTTATCAGTTTGTGTTTGTATTCTTATTTACCAACTTTAAATAAAAGCTTCTTAGCAACACATCGGCCAGTAAACTTTAGTACAACTGCCTTGTTTCTCTCTTTGTATGTTATGGTTGTCATGTTTTTAGTTGTTGTTGCTTTTTTTATCTTCATTGGTTTTGTCTGAAAATAGGTTAGGAACCATTGAAACTAAATTTGCTTGATTTTTCAGCAATTTACCATGTAAAATATATTTCTAAATGAAAGTGCACTGGATTTCAAGGTTGGAATTTTACTTTCACATTTTTTTAAAATAAATTTAAAATGAAAACTTCTTAAACAACGTGTTAAAAAACAAAGAGGTGAATTATGATTTTACTGGCTTCATTTGTTATTTAAGTCATCGTTAATATACTTAACTTTACTGCGATAATAATTGTTAGAGTAAAATTTAACTTGGACAACTTGTTGAATATCGTGGTTTGTTTTCAATATGCATAGTTTAGACTGAAAAGCATGCTATATGTACTTTAGTGTCAGATACATATACTAAAATGCTAATACGTACCTCAGCCTTTTTGAAATATAAGGACATGACATCTCCAGTTTTTCCTTCCCATTATAAACATGTATATTTCTAGATGTCATAAATTATTATTTTCTCGCATTTGTTTCATAGTTCTTTATTTCTAAACTTTTATAATATACAAAGGAATTAATAGTTGATATGAACATCCAATCAAAACACTTTAAGTTATCAGTAACCAACTAATTTTTTAACCCTAATCAACTCTTTACAACTAATAATAACCACTAAAGGTGCTAGAAACTATTGAGCAAACAAACTACCTAAAACTTTATTGATTGTTTGAATAGAACATTTTTTTAGAAATAGAATATTGTGTAAAATAAACTTTCTTGGGGTTTTATATGATTTTAAGTAGAACATATTTTATACAAAGTTCATATCAAATCTTGTCACAAGCTTAATGTTATACTCATTAAGAAACCTTTTAATTTACAATATGAGTGCCTACCAAACCCCATCCAGTTCTCACAATATAAATGTGGGGTTTGGCACTTTGCTTTTTTATCTCTAGCTTGGGTAATTTTTTTCTCTGGTTACTTTTGCTGTAGTGCAAAACATTGCTCATTTTTGTTTAAGAGTGACAGTCAGTTACAAATGTTCATTATTATGAGCCTGATATTACTGCAACTTTTATGTGATCTCCAGAAAATCTGTTTGAATCATATTTAGCCTTTTTTTTTCATGCAGATAGATTTACGAATATAGATTAAAAGTAATATTTGACCACTTCTCAAGCAACCTGTTATTCAAGAAAATATTTAAGCTATTATGTAGAGTGTAAACTTCAGGGATGTTAATTAGCTTGTTATATATAAAACAACAACAACAACTTTGTCATGATATCCTTGCCTGGAAAGTAGGTGTTTATTATTTGTGCTGGTGATTAACAGTATTTTAATATTTTTCTTGATGTTGTCAGATTTAGACTTTGGTCAAATATCTACCCTCTTTGCAGATTTAAAGGCATCTCAAATTCGGAAACCTTATCCTCAAACTGCATGTGTTTTATTTCAAATAATTTAGGCTTGTTCAACAAATTTGCTTGTGTTGTTATTATATTTGACATGGCATAACCTGCTTAAACTTATATTCCTGGCAATTTTAATATTTGTTTTTAGTGAATTCTCATACGTTTTTTTAAATAACAGCTTCCAACTTACTGTATTTTATTCATCCATCCTAGAATGTCAACAGTTTTGATTCCCCTGGTGACCTCATTAGAAGCGCCTCAACTCGACAACGATTCAACACATTCAACTCCGAATTTCCATCACGACCCAGTCCAGATCTCTCCTGGGAACAGGTCCAGAAAGCGGGAACAGAGGATGTCTTCCCAACAAAGGAAAATGACACACTTATTCTTGAAACTAAACACACATCAACACCTGTGGATAAACATGTCAATAACAAACTAGAAAATGATGATGATAGCAGCAACTGGAAACATGTGGAAAGTGAAAACTTAAGAAATATCCTAAATAACAGCGGAAGCATCAGCTCTGTGCCTCCTGGTGAGGAAAAAAGAAACTATAACTTTAGTTCTTAAGAAACAGTATTTCTCGTATATTAATTATAAGTGTCAATTAGTCTTTGCATTATCGTATTTTTACTTCATTGCGAGCACATGATAAAAGATGAAAATAATACAGAATTCTCATGAATCTTTAGTGATTATATAAGGCATAGTGTAATTTACACATAATAATGTTAAAATGTAAACTTTTCCTCTCAAGTAGTGCTTTCTGTGGGATACGAGTCAGTATAACATCATAGAGCAAAACGGGGGACACTTTTTATTTTAGACAGGACAAAACACAAAAAAATGGAAACTAGAGGAAAAATTAACCCTCACTTGGAACCAAACGAATTATAATTATGAAAATTTTTATCCTCAACATTTTGTTTTTAGTGGTATCACTATTATTTTTCCTTCAGACATCAAGGTGAAGAAGAATGTAGAAGAGGAGGAGCCACTGACTGCACACAAGTAAGATTTTCAACATTAGTGTTTGAACATGCTGTAATCAAAGAATTAAATTTCATTGAAATTATTTTAACTTCTCTGTATATTGAAGTACTGAGAACAACGTTGTGTCTGATGATGGTAACAGATCAATTCAGAGTAGGACAATAGTTTAAATTTTCAGTCTTCATCTAGTTTAGCTTATGTAACATAGATTACTGAATTGGGAATTAATGTATACAATTTTGTGAAAAAAAACAAGTCAGTGCTCATCAAAACAAAAAGTCATTGTTCATGAAACAAAAAAAGGGGATTTTTTTTCTAAATGTGTTTCCAAGTAAACTTATTTATCAAATCATCAGGCTTATAAATTTTTTTTATCTAGGTGAAAAACTTCTGCAAATTTTTTAAAACAACTTAATGAGTTAGTTCCTTATAAGCGAATGTATCTTTATATCTACTTTATTGGATTCTTGACTCGTGCTAGACTACCACAGTTGACGTACTTTACAATGAACATACTTCTAGTTTCTGTGTTTGTTATTTGTTTTAAAAGCTGTTATTCATTACTGGATGACTACTGAATTTTTATAGAACAAAATGTTATGATTTATTTTAAATGTAATGTAGAGCTAAATTATTCCTACAAAAAAAAGTAGAACAAGGGCTTGATTAGAACATCTGTTTTCATCACTTAGAAAAAACAAGAAACATTGAAATAGTATAATTGTTTCAAACCTAATATTGACAGCTCAGTAAATATTCACATTTTACTTGAAAGGAAATCTCATACTGCATAAAAAGTATTTAATTTGTTAAACTATGACACTTGGTTTTGTTACTGTAAAATATATTACGATTTTTTTTTAAATTTAGTTTTGATTAGTTTGTTTGTGGATTGTGTAAATCTACCTACCAACGTGTGTGGAAAGATTTACCAATTTTTGCAATGGGCCGTTCAAAATGTTGTGTGCAAAATGCTTGCATCATATGATGTCAACTGCAGTTGAAGGGTTAAAGAGAAGAACTGTATTGTTCAATATACACTTAGGGTTAAGACTGAAGATAATACAGAACAGATTAAGGGTCGCAGTAGACGTTACTTAAAGAGGGATGGGCGTAGCACGCGAAGCTTGCGGATTCGTTCGGACGGCGTTGCCAAGATGATGCCTTCTCAAGTTACAAGAGAAATAGAGAAGAAGAGGAACCAGTCTCTTGCCACTCTGGACTTACAGTCTGAGAAAAGTGCTTTGGAACAGCAAAATTACTGTAGTAACCCAGTTTATTACCTGACATCTGATGTTGAAAAATTAATAGGTGAAAAGTCTCCAGAAGGTCCCCAATTAGAAGAACCACCACCACTACATCGCCGTCGCCATGCTAGTGAAAGAGGTAAATATCTGTGGCATTTATTTAGAGCAATCTGTTATGATATTTTGTGGCTATTTTATAAATGCTTGACCAGTTATAAAACAAACTAACCAAGACATCTTTTTTTTTTCAACTATAAAAGTATTTTAAATGATCTTTTCTCGTTATTTTCAACACATTGCAACTTTGACTTAACAAAACAAGTTGATTTATTGTAATATTTCCTCCTTGAAATATTTGTTGTTGAAAGGGAAAAATGAATATATTTGAATATTCAAAAATTCCACAGAGTTTGAGAAACTGAGGTCTGTCAACACAAGGATTGCTTGATATGCCTTCCCTGACACTATTTTTCTGTAAGCAGTGTTATTGGTAACAATAAATAGATGAAAAACATAATAATGTTTTTAATTTCACTGAGAGTTTAGAGTGAAAATATAAGAAACCTCAGTGTGATTAAGACCACTTGTTTGGATCATCTCAAAATTAAACAAAAGTTATACTGTTGATGAATATGAAGTAGACTGGCATATAAATCTGGAATAAAACAGCTAAACCCACACATTTCTTAAAATATTAATTTTTCACGTGTATGGGTATTCAAAGTGCCAATTATCACAAAAAAAAGCTGATTGATTGAATGTTTATAATGTGAGATAACTTGTTTTTTCATGCGAAAGGAACAGCTAATCGACGGCTGTTGCTCGATGATGATTCTCAGGAAAAACCCCAACGTGAAAGTGGGCACGATCTTCAGCGCTCAGCATCAGGGACCAACTTTTCAAGATCAAGGTGGAGAAATGTTGGAAATGGTCATCGTGACATGACTTTATTGTCCCTTCAAAATATCGGCAACAAGACTGTAATGCCATTGAAACCACACAATGCAGAAGATAATGGTGGACATAAGTTTTTGGAAGATAAAAATACACAGGTAAACCTGCACTGATGTCTAGAACAGTCTGTGCATAATAAATTAGTTCTTGAAGTATTGAGTTTACGTTTCCTCAATGCATGTGGTATAATATATTTTTAACTATACAGGGGGTTATTGCACAATATAAGGATGGCTTGCATATCCTTTTCCAGGCTGGTTTCTCTTTTTTTTTGGTGACATTAAGTTTTAGTCCCCTGGTTGGTCAGTGGTAAGTCTCTGGGCTTACTACACAAAAATCAGAGTGTGGATAGCCCAATGTGTAACTTTGCACTAAGTAAACACCATCACCATTATGTTTTATAAAAAAGGTGATCTTTCATGATATTAGACAAAATTTTATAAAATGTAATTCACGTCAATTTAAGACAAAAGTACAAACCCTCTACCTTGAGCACTTGTCTTTATTTACCCAGATGATTGCATTATTTTATTATTTCTGTGTTCCACAAATAACCAGTTACAATGATAATTTTGCTCATCCATACTCAATATATTTTGTTTTCCCAAATCGTAACATTGTTCTTCAATTTTAAGTATGCATTGATAACTAAATTACACTATAACTTATCATTTCCACTTTACATCATCTACCAAATCACAATATTTTTCTGCAGTAACTACCTACTTGATCATATTGCTCTCTCACTCCAGATATAAATTGTTTATCCCAGTAACAAGATTCTCTTGATATTTCCATTATTTATCTAAAAAATATAATTTTGGTGAATATTTGATTACGTGTGTAATCAAATAATCCTTTATTTTGTGATTTTTAAACATACAACTTATTTGTTTGATTTACAGCTGCGTGGTGATCCTGATGGATGTGGGTTGGATCCATGGTTTTTATACACCTCTGTGGGTGCATTGGCTCACTCCGAGTTCACACCTGTAGTAAGAGAAATATTTAACTTTCAAATTTAATATATATATATATTGGAGGGAAATCAAACTATATTATGTCTTGTTTTTTAAATCAGTAATTACACAAAATACAAAAAAATGATTGTGTTCTTACAATTTGATGTTGTGGAATGACAGGAAATTTATGTTTGTTTTTCGAATATTTAAAGTTTGACATATTGTAGGTGCTATTATCTCCTTACTGTAACATTGGCTGAAAAGCTTGACTCATAAGAAAACATTTTTATCATAATTACGAATGAAGTGAGGATGTAAAAGACGTTGTTTAAAGTTGATTTCAACCTGTCCCCAGGACCTGTTTCTCAAAAAAGGATGGTTATTAAGGCAGGGTCACAATGACTGGTACAAACACTGGTTTGTTCTTCGCAATTCTTCTCTGACATTCTATCGAGATCCAAATGCTGAGGAATCCAACATTATGGATGGTGTTCTAGATCTGCAGTTGGTGAAAGGGGTAGAGGAACTAGAAACTGACAAGAATTATGCATTTTTTATTACAGTAAGTTGGTGATGTTTACTAAATATTCATTGGATACTAACACACGTTTCAAACATCAAGTTTTTTAAAGTTCCTTTTAAGTGACCTATCAAATCGTGCTGACTGGTTAATCCTTTCTCATTCAATTATTCCTAGGGAGCATTTTTAGTAGATTCAGTCAAAAAGTTCACCTAGAAATTGTTTAGCCTAACTAACTTTACTATTACTATATTGACTTGATTATAGGGTGATCTCGATTATAAGGCAATCCCCATTTTCAGAAACCATGGAAAAGAAGAAAAATTTGGTGTCATAACGTCCTTTTTTAGGTCTGTGAAATGCTTTTCTTATAGAGTGTGTATTAAGAAGTTCATTCTTTTGTTTCTGCCAATGCCTCAAGTTATATTCAGTTACACCAAATTTTCTACAATTTGTTTCTTCTGCCTCATGCACCACCATAATTTTAAGATTTGTAATCCTTTGTTAATTTGACGCTTTCTTGTTCCCTGCCTTTCAATGTGGTCACTCATTCTTGCACACTAAAATGAGACTCACAGACAATTATTATAAAATTTAAAAGAACCACAGTCAAAGCAATAATGCACCAGCAAAATCAATACTATAATTAAAGAGTCTGCAGGTGGATTAGTTGCAAGAATTAACGATGACCTCGAGTGAACGTCTGGCACGCATGCATAGACAGATGCTATCTGAATTTCAGGAATGTGACAGGCTAGAGTAGGGAGAAGGGGCCTGTGGTCGGCTGCGATTATAAGGCGACTATGAATTTTACAGCCTAAGTATTAATCATATAACATCACCTTATAATCAGGCCAATACAGTAATTGCAGCCTAAAAATGCTTGTTTTTAATGATATATAAAAGATACCATTTCAAAATTTCCTAAATGTTATGTTACAGTTGTATACTACTGAGAGACTATTATTATTACTAAAGTGTATTTTTAATACCCGTTTCTAAAGACAATTCTGAGTTGTGTGATATTGTATTCTTAATTTGTTTTATTTTTTTAGTGGGATTTTCAAATATTTCAAAACTGTTTGTTATTATCACATTTATGAATCTTTAATGATAATTAATCAAACTTTGTTATTTTTGTGGTAGCATCTTGCTAGGCCTTAGCTTTCATATAAAAAATATTATAAGGTTAATAAATATATATAAGATTTTTCTTTTTTAATTATATGGTAAAAATATTGTCAAATCTAGTTCACATAATAATGACAAGCTAATTTATTTCTTCAATAACGCTTACTATAGGCTACATTTACTTTGACACAATTTGTAAGCCTAATACATTAATAATGTTTAATATCAATTTCCTTTATTGATAACAAATGCTGACTCACTTACTGGTTAATTTACAAAATAACTTTTACTGACTAATTTTACTTAATCTATCTTCTCTCAGTCAACATCTAGCTACTCAGTTCCTCCGCTCTGAATATTTGACTGAATTTTTAATCACTGAACTACCTCGTATTTATAACTAATGTACCCCATGTTTCTATATTAGTTACAGTTACTAAATTCTTGATGTTATCATGAACTTTCTAGGTCTTCTAGGACTACTTTTATGAACTTACTTGATCTTAACAGCATGCATGATCTAGCTATCATTTAAATCAAACATTAAAATATAGCTTAGAACATTATTTTATAGTAATTTTTAGCAAATATTGTGAACAACACTTTTTACTACAGAATGATTTATATATATATCATCGAAATCTGGGTTTATGACTGTTGTTTAAGTCATATTAAATAAACTAACAAGGAAAATGTTAGATCGCTACAATCAGGAAAAAACAACTATCAGTTAAGACTACTCCAACATTCTGACAAAGCAACAAATTTTTTGTGGTATATTTTTGTCCGTTTTTTTTTGTTATAGACATTTGACAATAAAAAGTATGTGTTTGCTGCTATCACTGCCGGTATTCGAAACAACTGGATCCAGGCAATCCGCCATGCTGCCGAAAATTGGGATACATTAGACTTGCAGAAGAAGCATCACACAGAAGAAAGTAATACTTCCTCAAAAGAGAAGCTTGGGAGATCTGGAATAATTAGTCCTGTGTGTATTGATGAACCAGTCAAGCTAGTAGATGTCTCCTCCAGTGATGACCCCTCAGAATATTTTTCTATTGTGGATGAAGAGGAAGGAACTGAACAACCAGCTTCTCCACGAACATTACCCCCATCTCCACCTCTTAACAGAACTGCCATTTCAAGAGTCAAAGAAAAAGCTCGGTCTCGTTCTTCATCAAGCTCTAGAATAGGTCGACAGTTACGTTCTCCTGGATCAGCAGACAATGAACAGTTTCTGATCACTGCCGAAATTGATCAGCAGAGTGATGGTGGCCTAAGTGATCGGTCTAGCTCAAGTATGCAAGGAGGAGATGTGCCTTACTGGGAGAGGAGAGCTTCACACAAGGTAAGGTTATACCATAAGAAAGAGAGTTACCATAGAAAAAACTGGCATTAATTAATGTTTGTTGTAATCAAGTATAGATGTAAGATATTTCTGTTAATAGCCAAAAGTAATTTTTCAATTAGTGGTCCAAAATAGCTCACTGTGTTTCTGCATTATAAATGTTACATTTACTACAAATTATGCATTTACTATAAAATACTTAAGTAAAATTACAGTTATGTTTTTGTTTTACCACAAAGTAAAATGCTTTAACCTCCGCTAGTGTATCAAAGCTCCACTACTGTTACACGAAGGTGCAGGGGTTTACCACTGTTTGAACCTTGGAAATACTTATGAACAAAAATAAAGTACTATAGAATTTAGTTCTGGTTCTCAAGTTTGTCATTGGTTGCACAGAATAAATAAAACCCGCATGGTATTCTTGTCATGTTTCAGTTACATAATAACTTTATGAAGTTTATACGAGTCAGTCCGTCCCATTAATAATCCCTTTTTAATAAGAGTAATAATTCTAGGATGGTTAAATTGCAGAAAACCTGATGTCACCCCAATTTTCTTAACATCAATTCCTTTGATAGTTTTGGCCTCTAAACGCATCTATTACTGGATAACAGAGAGGTATAATAAGGTTATATATGTGAAAAATTGCTGTACGTTAATTTTCATTTGATAAAACTTTCAATTAATAACTCAATTCAAATTTTAGAAGAGGATCTCATGAACTTCTAACGTGGTTTATAAAAGATACAGAATAATGCATAACTTTGATAGGATAAGTAAAAAAACTAGAGGGGCACTCAGCAGAGCATATACATCCACCACACAGCATTGATCACATTCGGCCCTCAAAAAATACAAAAATGTGTCTGCATGTCCATTGTTACCAATGGACATGGATCGTTTTTGGGCAGGACAATGAGGAATAATATTCAACATATGTCCCCCAAGTTTCATTTTGACTGAGTTTCTGGAGCAAATATAGTGTAAAAAATTGATCCCTGTGTTAACAGATAGGGATTTTTTTTATTTTGTGACCTTGTCCTTTGACCCTCCAAAAACTCATCACTTCTAAGTTGGGTCATAGTCCAAATGTATATCAACTTTGTCCAGATCCATTCAGCTGTTTTCGAGAAATCTTGCTGACAAACACATATGGGTGAAACCATAACCTCTAGCAGAGGTAATTATGGATAACTGTGATTGTATGTGTAAAAAATCTGTACAAAATTACACAAAACTCTGTATCATTGTGAATACTCTGATATTAATTTATATCATCTTCATCCTCAGAAGAGTGAACTATCTTTAATTCATTGTTTTATTTTAATATTCACAATAAAATTTATTCTTTCATTACAGCAACGAATGATTAAACTTCTGGAAAATAGAAAGAAAACCATATCTACCAACAGTGATTGTGTAACTAATTCTTCAATTTCTCAAAAAAGTCTTTCTCATGTCAGCTCATCAAAGAATGAGGAACTGTTACCCGAGAAAGGCGAGATTGTGAAGTTAACCGACAGTAACGGAGCATTGTTGGGAGAACAGTGCAAGTATTTAGAGGAACCAAAACTTGAACAACAAAATAGCAAGGGACAGAAGATAGTTAAAGGACTTTCCAAAGATGTTTCTGAGAAAAGTAGCAGCAAAGAGAAACAGAAAGATCAAAAACAAGGTGGAAGTGGAGAAAATGTATACAAGTCAAAATATGAGTTTCTAAAAGTGAAATACAAGAAAGACCGAGCAGAATGGGAAGAAAAACTGTCTAAGGAAAAAGCATGCAATCCTTTCAGATCAGGAAAGGCAGAAGACTTACAGGATGCTCTTCAAAATTGTAAAGATCAGTTATGGAGTATCAAGTGTAAGCTTGAAAAAGCTCCTGAAAAAAGGGGAGATACTCTTGTCTCATGGAGAGAGGTTTATAAACTTTGTGAGGATGTAGAAAAGTTACTTGGTTCTAGTGAAAGGAGGTCAAAGAAGGATAATGAGGTTTCTAAGTTAAAGAACTCAATAGCTGAACTGCAAAAAACATGTGATGGAAGACAGAATGAACTTGAGACTTTAAAAAATGAGCTCGACATTCGTAAGATTGATATAACAAAGTTAGATGAGGAACTAAGACGAACACTTGCTGAGTTAGAAAAGTCCAGGGATGATAAAACAGATCTGCAAGGTCGTGTAAGGCAATTGGAGACCATTTTAAGAAGCTCTTTACATGATTCTGATGGAATGGCCAATAAACAGCAAGATTCTCTTTTGTTGCTGGAGAATTCGGAGCTGAAGACCAAATTATTAACCGTAACTGAAGTGACAAAGAGCCTTAAAAGGAGATTAGAAGAAGCCCACCGAAGTTGTGATGATCTAGAAATCAACTATTACAAGATACGGCAAGATATGAAGCGGGTGCATGACACCCATTTCTCTCAACTGGCTCTCATGACTGCCCGTGTTGATGATTTAACTCTAAAACTCACAGAATCTGAGAGAAACTTTCGACAGACAAAACAGAAACTCACAAGAAGTGAATCCAGGCAAGAGAGGCGTAAAAGTTCTCTTCGTGGCAAAGAAGGGTTGAATTTATCCAAAGAGTTTGAATTTAAATTGGGAGACCTAGAGCAAAAGATAGAATCTATTGAATATTCTTTGAAAAAACCACAACAAAACAAAGAAGAGATTGAAGCCCTTTCACCTCAGGTACAAACACAAGAGAGTAAACTAGGATCTGAAAGCTCATCAGCCGAATCCCAGGGCTTCCTAGTTCGACTCAGTAATTTAGATACAAAAGTAAAAAATGTGTATAGTATAGCAAAACCTTTGGACCAAGGAACTGATTTAACAGATAACTTGGAAAAACCAAAAATTTGTTTACAGATTAAAAATGACAGCGAAGAAAGTGGTCCAGAAGAGTGGAGTACATTGTCTTTAGCCAACAGTGTCACTGACCTTCATGATTTGGTAGCAGAAAGTGTTAACGAACAACCTAAAACTCTCTCAGAATGTGTACTTTCTCTGTCTGACAAAGTTCGATCCTTAGGTGTATGGTTTAAAAATATTTTGTATCTCCTTCATCAGCAAGAAGATGGTTTGAATGGAAGTGTTAGTGCTGAATTAAAGCATCTTGTAGATGCTGTTGAGTGTTTATCATGTGGGGCTGTTGAAAATCTTCAAGTCGACCACGATAAGGGAATGTTACTAGAAATAGTGTATCAATTAACTCTTCTTCAGGAAGCAGTGAAAGCAGTTGATAGGCTTGCCAACTTTGATGCTTCTGAAAGGAAAGATGTTGTTGAAGAAATTGGCAGAATACATCATTGGCTATCCACTTTAGAGAAACAGCTCTCTTCATCTCCTGAAGTTATATCTGTCTGTGGTGGTTGTACAGCTGTAGGAAAAACACTGTGTGTCTTCCTTCAAGATTCTGTTCCAATCACAGACATGAGTATATCACAGAAGGACAATGATACTGTGGACAGCATCCAACAACTTAACTTTGAATTAACGACTCAGCTACAGAATCTAGAAGATCAGTGGAAACGTGTTGGCAAAATCTTGAACAAGACAAGAGCTGATGACCTAGCAGCCCTGCTTTCCTGTATGAGTGACAGTTGTGTCAGTGATATATGCAGAGTACACTCAACACGGGATGATTGGCAGTCAGTCACTGATTCGTCACCAACAGAAAGGATCGTTAGTGAAGAAATAGTTTTAGCAGAGCTATGTCATGTTGTCACAGGGACCTGTGACAGGATTCGAAAAGTGTTAGTCCACCAACGAAAGCAGCAGCTCAGTATACTGTGTCGTGATCAGGAAGCATTTGAGCTGTGGTGCACTTTGATAGAGCAGTCTGTAGAGCAAGAACTGGGCCTAGTTAATTCTGAACTGCGAGCTGGTGTAACAGAACTTGCATCATTACACCAACTAGATTTGGACTATTGTCTCAACCAGGAAGTATTGACAAAGGCAGCCGAGCTGGCAAGCATTGTAGCTGTTAGTGGTACTTTTCACGGAGTTCTTACTTATTTGAGGAACAAAGCAGGAGATATAATAAACAGTAGAAAGACTAGGTGTAATGTTCAAGAAAGTTCAGCTTTGTATGATGAACAGTGGATGGCTAAGGTGCGGGCTTGCATCTATAAGCAAGCAGAACAAACAGTTTTTGGTGCATCTTGTGTCATACCATGGAATGGCAGTAAATGTATACATGAAGCAAATGAGAACAGTTCAGAAAATATTGCCAGACAAAGTGCCTCAAATCTGGTTAGTCTACAGCAGTGGTTACAGGAAAAGCTGGCAGAAGAGAGATTTCAGTTTCAGTCAGAGTTTACAGCTTTACAGAAGAGATCACAGCAACAAGTAAAAGAGGAATGTCATAAATGTGAAGAACTTAGACAAGATGTTTATCATCTGCAGGTACAACTAAATCAACACCAAGACTCACCACAAAAAAGCGATGTGTGTAATCAGTGTGAAGAACTTCAAAATAATCTTTGTCAGTTGGAGAAAAAACATACAGAGGAGATACAAAACCTGAAGTCTGAACATCACTGTAAAGTAGAAACCATAAGGCAGGATATGCAAGAATTCTTAGAACAACAAGTAAGTGTTTGCTTTTTGAACAGTAAAAGGTTTGTATAGACATGTTCTTCATCCATTCATGTTGAATAAATTTGAAGCATTTTTAGATCAACAAAATTATCAAATTGGTTCTTATCTCTTATTCAGTTGGAACATTTACTTAACAGAATCAGCGTTTAAAATTTAATGCTTGTTGGAAATCAGTTTCATACTGTAGACTCGAAGGCTGATTAAAGTTTACAACATAACAGAATTTTTAATCCCAAAATTTCCTAGTTTTCAGCAAGATCAATTTGATATTTTTTAATGAAAATTCTCATAAAGACCATGTTTAATAAATGAATTTAAAAAAATTAGTTCATCTCATCCTGAAACATTTATTTATTGTTTTAAAAAGAAACACATAAAAGATTTGAGACACTTGTATTTATAATCATTCCTTTTCAGAATGCTATGTAAGGAAGAATTTTTAAATCGCCAACCCCTACCTATCACTACAGCAAATTAACAAAAGACAGAATACAGCCAAACCTATCTTTTAAAAGCATTAAATGTATTTTAAGACTGTTCCCCCAACTGAACATTTTATTAAGTACTTGCTGTCTTTATAGTTGAAGCAAAATTCAGATTAAACAAGGCTGGGCATGACCTAGTGGCTAGTTTGACAGGCTGTAGATTATAAAGGTCCAAGGTTCAAGACATAATTTCAGCTGTGGGCATGTTATAAAGGTGACAGTCAATCCCATTGTTTAGGTCAAAGAGCCAGACAAAGCCCTAGTGGTAGCACTTACTATTGATTGCCCACTGTCTGGTCAGATTCAAAATTTAGGGACCTGAACCCTAGGGTTCTCTGACCTGGCCATTTAGCCCACCTTACAAAGGTTGAAATTCCCCGTTCCAGATAAAATAGTAGTCTTTGTTTCTCATGGCACTAAAATGAAAATAGTTTTTATATATTGAGTGGATATCTTTTTATAAAAAATTACAAGCTAGAAAAGTTTGTTAAAACCTGCTTCTGAATATCTCTGAACCTTTTCTTAACTATGTAACTGCAAAATACTAACTCAAAAACTTTGATACAACTATTATTTTATTCTAAGGTAGCAATTAGTTTTTACTTTTCTAAGATATGAGACTTGCAAGCTCATATACAAAACAACCAAGAGAATTTGGTAAACATTTTTTAACACACGCTATAGTGAATTCTCTACACGAGTCTCTCCCTTTTCTTTTTGACATTGGTACTATGTTAAACGGAAAATATTTCGGGTTACCTTCATTAGGTCATTCAAATAAAAATGGCACTTAGAAATAAAGACCTGTACATATAGTAGTTTTGTCTGTTTGTTTTTGAATTACGTTCAAAGCTACTCGAGGGCTATTTGCACTAGCTGTCCCTAATTTTGCAGTGATAGAATAGAAGGAAAACAGCTAGTCAGCACCATCCACTTTCAACTCTTTGGCTACTATGTTACTAGTGAAAAGTAGAACTGACTGTCACATTATAATGCCCCCATGGCTGAAAGGATGAGTGTGTTCTGTGAGAGGATTCAAACTTGAGACTGGCAGATTGCAAGTCGAGTGCCCTAACCACAAGTCCCATGTGTAGTAGAAGCTACAAATCCATGGTCTTTGATAATTTATGTTACATAAGACATGTCAGGGTCAAAATCCGTTTGTTACTGAAACTTAAATTGTAACCTCATTTCTTTATTAATCTTGTCTTTTTTATTTTTTTTACCCTTAAGTTTTTAGATAAGAAAACAAACTGTGTTATTTTTAGGTGTAATTGAAAATCAGTTGATGTATGTTTTAATGTTTGTTTAATTTTTGAAAGACATTTAATGTTAGGACTAGTAAGAAGTTTATATATATTTAGTCGAATATCAGTATAGAATTAAAAGAAAAGCATTTTGTATCAAACTTTCATCTTTAAATTTGTGGTAGAAATTATTATATAATTGTCATGTAATTAACATTTAAATTTTGATATTTGTTTCTGAGCTAATTTCTTTTTTTTTATATATCTCACAAATTTAAATTCATAAAACATAATTTATAAAAAGTTTGAAATTTAAGACAAAAAAATTCCTTAGCTTGCTGATAGGGGGTGCCACCTTCTGAAACGATAAATACAGTGTTTTCAAAAGATGCTAATTAAGCATCATGGAGGCAGCATTTCCTACAAACATTTGGAAAATGAGATTCACCCAATTGGATGATGAGTGTTAGTGTATGGTATTGCTTTGCATAAGCTTACAGTTGTTTACACTAGATGGTGTTTGTGTGAATTGTGTAATAAATTTGTAATGGATCTTAGCAGAACACAGAAGATACCATATGTTTTAATTTTTGTTGTAAGAAAAAATTCACTTATTCAAAATAAGGAATTTTAATTGTCCTCTAACAAAATGTCATAGGGCTGTCTTAGAAACCTCTAACAAAATGTTGTAGGGCTGTTCTATCAATTAGAGGATGGGCAGCAACTCTATTTGCAGATTAAATCAATTTCTGTAAAGTTAGGAAATCTGATTTCTTTAAAAGTTAACAACAATTTTTCACAACCTCATTTTAATTTCTTCTCTAGAATATGACATTTGTTTTTATCATTGTACGTTTCGTGCAGTGAAAATCAAAACGATACAAGTAAAGAAAAGTAAATATTGGACTTGTATGTTTAAGATTTTTTCTTTCTTTCTTTTAACAACATAGGATAAACAGCACAGTGAAGAAATCAGTCAACTTCAGAATGAGCTTCAACTTTCTCAGAAGCACTTGAAACACCTTGAGGTAATTAACATAACACTTGCTGATCAGTAGGCCTAAAGGATTAACATACTACTTGCTGATCAGTAGGCTTAAAGGGTTAACATGACACTTGCTGATCAGTAGGCCTAAAGGGTTAACATATTACTTGCTGATCAGTAGGCTTAAAGGGTTAACATGACACTTGCTGATCAGTAGGCCTAAAGGGTTAACATAACACTTGCTGATCAGTAGGCCTAAAGGGTTAACATACTACTTGACGATCAATAGGCCTAAAGTGTTAACATACTACTTGATGGTCAATAGGCGTAAAGGGTTAACATACTACTTGATGATCAATAGGCCTAAAGTGTTAACATACTACTTAATGGTCAATAGGCCTAATATTTATGATAATAATTTAAATTGTAGATGTTTTCTTAGTGCAAAACTAAACAATGAGTTATCAGCACTCTATGAATCAAGGGGAACTGAACTCTGGATTTTAGTGTTGTCGGTAAACTTATCACTGACCCACTAGGGGACAATTACAAATGTTTTGTTTTTTTCCCTTTAAAATTTCTGGTGATCTTGTGTAACACCACCAATGAGGTCCATATGGATCTGTTTATTTTTTAAGCACATTTTTGTAAACTATTTATACACCAAATTGCTTGTGGATCCATGACTTTGTTGGCTAAAGTGTCCATAATAACATGCAAGTAACACAAAAAAAAGAAAGATTAATTACTGTTGGGTGTCCCTGTGTATTTTATGTAGAATATGAATTATTTCACCCAATTGTGCTTGTCAGTTCTTTACATTGAATTTTGTAAAGGCAAAAACATAAGATTTCTAAATGTGATACAATACGTGGATCCTCTACTGATAGTGAATAACATAATAAATAAGAAACTTATTACACTCACTTCTGACGATCAATGTAATGCTTTTGTAACGAGTCACACACTACTTTAATCTCTGGTGCTCTTCACAGTTTGTTATACAGTACGAAAGTCTTTAGTCTTCTGGTTTTTTTAGCTTGCCCATCATATTTTTACCTAAATTCATATTGCCTTATGAGAATAACTATGCTTAAATAGCACTTGATGGTAAGTCAGATCTTCAGGCCGAGGTAATATTTTGAGATTCCTTTTGAGTCAAGTAAAAGCTGTTACACAGTATTATCAATGCTCACACATCTGTCCAGTTTAAGAAACCAATTTTCTGGTATTACCATCGCTGTACCATAAATTATTAAGCAGAAAAAAGCTAACTTGTTCTGTACATATTCATTCTAAAATTGAGTAAATTGTAATATGGATTTTGATGCATAATTATGCCTTTCCTAAGTGGAAACTAATTATAATGTGTCATCAATGTTTCTGTTATGATTATTACAATTTACATTACAAAATTAAACTTTATAAGCTACAGATTCTCCTTATCTGAAGTACAACAATTACACAAGGAGAATTTTATAGTGTTTTTCGATCCTATATCGGTTGGCTTGAATTATGTATTTTGTGGAAATTTCACAAGTCATTCCCCTTCAACTGTTATTGTTAATGGGAGTGTGATAAGCATAACATTTGAATGATGTGTTAAGCTACAACTGTTACTAAACCAGCAGATATGTATGTAGGTTCAGTGGCTTTAAGTACGCTCATGATGCTAATGTACACCTTTGTTTCTAAGAATGAAACTTGTAACCAAATGAACATTTTGGTATCAGTTACTAGAAAATTACAGTTGTTTCAATCGATTATTACAATGGAATTTGAAACCAATATTGTAACTGAAAAAACACTTTTATCTTATAGAGAATGACTCATAGTAGTTATACCAGTGACCGTAAGGTACAGTAGTTTTATATTAGCAGTTGTTGCTAGTAACAATTAACTTAGGAGACAGAAATAACAAAAATTCAGAACATCTTAGATATTCAAAATTTACTAGCATTTACCAGTTGCCTTACAATTCTTACTATAACAAGTTTAACTAATCCTTATGTGATATCAGTTCACGTAAACATCCTGTCTCGTGTTGAGAACAGTACATGTAGTAGACTTTGATATTCCCTTGTTGTAGTTCTAAACTTGATTTCATTTATTTTTGTCAATTACATTTATAAATATTCTGATTATTTTGTTTCAAATGTAGGCTATATTGCTTGATTCTATGATCACTAATTAAAACTAGTTAGATACTCGATAACTCAGTCTTTTATTGTGACATATTGGAGACCTTATACTTACTCTTATGTATGCTTTGAACATTTTATATGTAACTTATGCAGAATCTTGCATCATATGATGCTTAAGTATCAGAAATTTCTTTAAAAGCTTTTGATGTGTTTGTTGCCTCAATCTATCACGTTCTCTGATAATTCTTCTCAAACTTCATTTTTGGTCGAAGATAAAAGAGTGTCCACTGGTCATTCAGGGCTTATAATACTAAAATCCAGGGTTTATTTCCAATACTGGATGCTGTAAAGATAATCTATTGTGCATCTTCATAAAAAAAAAAAAGAAGAAGAATGAAATGTAAGTGTTTGTTGTGGGTAATATTTCCCCCTTTCAGTGGTTACATTTTATAAAGATAAAAATGTTTGGTAATATATGTTGAATTTTCCTATGTTTTAGTTTGAATACGATGAGCAGATGAGAAGCCTGATTGAGATTTATCATCAGAAACTAGAAAAAAAGCATGATATTATCAGCGAGGAGTCAGTAAGAAGGCGCTACCAATCAGAAATTGAACAGTGGAAGGTTAGTTGAAGGCCAACAGTAATATGTTTGGAAATTTTTCAAGATATATATTTTTTTTTTATTGGCTCAGCAATATTACAGGAGATTTATTTTTTTCCTGGAAAACTGTAAGGGTAGTTTTAAACTACGTTTTGTTTCTTTAGGTCATGAGGTCACTTGACAGCTGTAAGAGATGTGAAATACATCTGCTCATTTCTTTGAATTACAAAGTTGCTTGACCAACAACAGTGTAACCTTGTGCTTTGAGGGAGAGCGGGGTCATAGCATCCCGTGCTCTTGATCCCAAGAATTTTATAAAAATAGTATTCTGTAATACAATAATAGACAGCTGGATGTTGTTCACCATGTCTATTATTTTTTTTACAGAATACTGTTCCCCCCCCCCCTCTTTTTGTTTTCAGTTTGGTTGAGTACATATTACCACAAGAGCCAAGTTACATGAACATGTAGTTCACATTATGATTAAAAGAAGACTGTTAGTTATATGTTCTATAATAGGGAAAGAGTGTAGGCTCAACAAGGTTTGTAAATCACATTCAAAACAATAAAACCTTAGTGCTTTTGACAGATGGACCATCTTCATCAGGAGCAATGGAATAATGACCTCTGATTTTGCCCCTACTGCAGACAGGTCCACCTGTCAAAAGCACTGACGTTCTATATGTTTTTTTCCTTTACTCGAACTACTACGCTTTCTAACTGTCTTTAATTACAGCATCACTTACACATAAAAATGTACAGAAACTTCACTTAGAGTAACTAGGCTTGCACACCACGTCAAGCTTGGGATCATTAGAAACCTGCATAAGGTAACATGTTCAATACATACAACAAGAAACTCACTCATTAACGAAACTCTCCCAAGTTAAGAAAGATTTTCAGAGCATCTTAGGTTTGAAAAATATTTATCACAGAACACTTAATATCGTCTAAAAACGAAAAGGAGAAGCCATTAAAAGAATACTGTTGATACATAATAGCATTAAACTTGCTACTATAGATGAAAGAAATATCATTTGAAGTCACAGAAATATATGGTTTTTAATTCTTCAAAATTGTGCAATACATGAACTTGCTGAAAACTGTTAAAAATAAAAACAATACAGAAACATACAAGGTGGTGCAAAAGTCATAGCCCCTGGAGATTGTGAATAACAATAAAACAAATGTACTTACTTGTTTGTTTATTAACGTAAATATTCAAATTGCTGGCCATTAACTTTGAAGCACATATTGACTTGAAGGTAATGCCCAGCAATTTGAGCACTTACTTTAATAAACAAAGAAGTTATTACTTTTGTGAGCCACTAAAACAATAAGCTGTTGTAATATAGAACATATTAGTGTGTGTGTGTGTGAACTGACAGACACTGCACTACTTGGATAAAGAAAACAACAGATAAACAGTTATTTACAGTATTATTTAAATGTATATTTAATGGAAATAGGAGGTTCTGAAAACATTTTTCATTGATACAGCTGTGCTCTCAACTAGTGGTTCAGAATTCTGTTTACAACTTTGTGGCAGTAGACATCTTGTTAAAGTGCTCACATCTGAAATAAAAGATTTTCCAGTTTATGTGAATCTCGGTGACAATAGCAACCATGTTGGATATCAACCCCAAGAACAGGAGGTTGATTAGTATCCCATTAGTGGTTTCAGTAAATTTCAACAAATCCAGAATTTAAAGTGAAAAATAACTTGACAATAAAACTTCAAAAATTCTTGTTATACAACAACAAGTGACCTCACATAGATAAGACAAAAGCCACTATCATATAAATATGGCTTAAATTATTATTAACATTTTTAAGTTTTTGTAATAGTACTTTCAAGTATTTCTTGAAGTAAATTTAATTTATTCTTTTATTGGAAAAACTAATTACTTCAGAGCAAACACTATGATTCTGTAGATTAAAATCGGTTCATCTTGGGATTCTTGAAAATTGATTGCGAGTCTCTGAAAGTTCCTTGTCGTCAAAATGCATTAACTCTGAGAATATCTGAATGTTTGTGTAATGATCAGAGATTTGCTTCTTATATTAAACAGGGTTTATCAGAGAAAGGGCTTATGGCCATGGAAAACTCATACAAACGAATGATAGCTGACCTGGAGAAAAAACATGAGATGGAATTAGAACAACTAGAGAATGAAAAAGAAAAAGCCTTAGCAGAAGAAATGTCTAATACTAAACAACACTACATTAAATAATTTTTAGAAGAACTTTGTAAAATAAACACAGCTTCATTAAATTATCTGCACTAAATACATCCATACTGAACATTTACAACCCAAACAATACGGTTTTAAGTAAATCAACATTGACCATGTATGGATTGTGAACACATTCTATAAAGCTAGTATTACAAGCATCTAAATATTTAGAGGAACCTAAACATTACAAAAATAAACCACATTTACCTGCTCTCGTTGCTTGAGTTTGTTTTAAGAAATTTTCTGCTAAATATTAAATGTGCATGTGCTTCTTGAGTTGTAAGGTGAAAATTTTAAAAATGTATTTCGAATAGTCTAGATATATGCAGTACCCCTGTTTTTTTTAGGGAAATTTTCTACTGCTTCATTTATATGGTGTGTTTAGTGTTACATTCTGAGTTTTATCCTATATTCACAGTGCATTTTCTAGAATAAGAGTTTATAGTGGCTTCTCAAAAGATTGAGATTGGAAAAAAACAATTTTAATATAGTCTCATAATAAAAAGTTCAAAATGATTAGCAGTAAGAGACAAGAGTCACTTTTTAGTTTTCAAATATCTTTTATTCTGGACAAACAGAATTCATTTGATTAAAGCATAGAGAAGAAAGAGCTCTAATATTTTTGATAAATAGTTTTCAATATTAAAAGCTAAATAAAATTTTTGTGTTAGAATTCAGATTGAACATTTTTTGTACTATTGGCTCATCTTCTTGGCCAATCACGTTGACTTACAAATGCAGAAGCAACTTAGAATTAAAAAGCTGAAAATAGAATGAATGTAAATAAGGCTAAATATAACATGTGACCATTTAACCATTAATGATCACTTATGGGAGTTTTGATTTTAGAATTTCTTTATATTCTTACAATGTAAAATTTTAATGATAGTAATGGAAAAATGTTTGAGTTTTGGGAAATTTAAGAGAAATATCATGAAGTTAAAAATTTAAAAGCCATGCCCAAGATTTGAAAATTTTATTAACAATACTGTGTACGCAAATCTGCAATTATGTAAAAAGTAATTCTACCCCCCCCCCCCCTCCAAAGGTTAGGAAAAGTGTATTATAAAATATGTTTCTTCAATTTTAATTTAAAACAAGTAAAAACATTTTCTTGTACATTATGTAGCTTTTAAAATAGCAAACAGTGTAACAAGTAAATTTGTCCTGATAACAAAAATTGGTATTACATTTTGACATACAAAAAACATTTTGGCTAAAACTGAAGTGTGAAGACTGAGCTTCTATTATGTCCGTGTTTGTATTATTCTAAACAGATTTATGGTCGATAGTAAATGTTTATATTTTCTGAAGCACTTGATGCCATGAGAAAAGCTCACAAAGAAGAACTGCAACGAGAAATCGCTAAGTTCAAAGATGAATTCCTAAAACAAATGGAATACACATACAGTGGAGAGAACCAGTATAAGGAACACGAGTAAGTACAACCTGACAGATGTGCATTATTAGTTAAGAATAAGTATTTCTAGAAATGCATGCATGTATATAAGAAAAATTCCAAAACTTTTTAAAAAAATCATCGCACTTTCCACTCATAATCCAAAGGTCATGATGGAGAATGCCCGTGTTAATAGTGCCCATGGATTATGGACATATGTATTTAAAAACAAATCACTTGCAAATCCAGCTGCAACCCCCACCCAATGAACTACTAAACAAAGGTACCCTTAGATCTAACAGGAAGAACAATACTTTCCACCCCATTATTTTGTATTTTCATCTGGATAAGTGTGTGTAAATTGAAGGAAATGTTTTTTTTTATTTTGCTGATAATTAAAAGAAGATATTTTGAAGTATTAATTATTTGATGTTTAATCTTTATAGGGCTGAATTAGAGGAGATTAAACACGAGATACTGTCACTGTCTGAAAAGTATTCCATTAAATGTTTGGTGAATGCTTCATTGAAAGAGAGCTTGGAAGTACTGAGGACACAGCTGGAAAACACTAATTATCAAGTAAGCACCACTGAATTTTATCTTACCAATTTTTATTATATGGGAACAATTTGCATTAAATTGGGTTTTTTATAAGTTGGGTAATTGTGGATTTTTTATACATCATTGTTGTCAGGCTTTGTTATTGTATATACTAGAAGTTGAGTACGTTATATTAAAACAATTCTGGAGCTTTGTTATGTCGTCTTGTCATCCTCTATCTGACAACTGTGCCTCTTGATAACAGTTCTGCAACATAGTTTACATTGCAAAAGATCTTCATATGAAATACTCATTTCATCCTCCAACTGCTTGGGGTATGAAATGGTGGAATCAGCTTGTGTACACGCAACGCATTTTTCCAGACAGGGATCCTTCTCGCCGATGTTATGTACTATTGCTTGGTTATTAGTACAATAAAACATTGTGCTCATACATATAAGTCAGAAATAGTTCTCGGTAAGTTTAGTTTCTTCATTTTTTTTTACATTAAGCTTTACATTTTTTTATTTGTACATTATTTGTTTATACTGATACCCTGTCTTACATTAAACTTCATAGGTATTTGACTTACTTGCACGAAACAAACAGTTGCGTGCTCACTTAGCATCGGAAGTTGCCGATAAGAAAGAAGAATTACTAAATAGCAAAGACAATGAACAAGGAGAAACACTGGTGGTATGGTCAACCATTTCTTTGTTACTTGTTAAGATAGGAATTTTATCATTATTGGTAACATTAATGTAGTGACTAGATAGAAGGGTTTGATCAGGTATACTGTATCCTAGCTTTTTCAAACTTAGAATAGATAGGAAACGTTAACAGGAGTTTTAGAACACAAGGTATTCTGATATATTATAGAAGACTGCACATATTTTAACCACAATAACTGTAGCATAACCATCGTGGTTTCTTGGCAGAGTGTCTTTTTCTTTAGAGAAAATCTACCTGGAGATCTGGACTTGAATATTACGTGCACACACACACACATAGATAGATATTGCCAAAATCTTTGGATTCTGATCTCCAGGTAGATTTTCTCTAAAACTCTTAAGAACTATAGTGTGTTTCATTATACCTTAAAAATTGATTTTAATTCATGTGAATGTTAAAAACACTTATGTTTTGTAGTAGATTTTCACATAATTAAATTCAAAATGTGGTTTTCTTAGTAAATTTCAATAAGACAAAAATATTTCGTACCAAATATCGCACTTTCCTAAGTTATATAATAATTTTTTAATACAAGTATATTGACCAGTCAAATTTGGTTGCGATGTAAATTGAAATTGTGTGTGTTTGAAAAGTACATTATTACAAATACTTGTGAGCTTGAATAACATGTAATTCAATAAAAATTTTCTGTTGGATTTTCAGCAACTTTTGAGTCTTAGGGACCAAGAGCTAGCAGAACAAAAGGAAGAGAATGCTGAGCTTCTTCAAAAACTTCATCTGACAGAGAATGTAAGTGACTGTACAGATATAAGAGAAGCTTGGAGGATTTAGATAAAACATTTAGTTTCTCATGCTTGACCTCAGTCAGCTATTCTGAACCTGTTTCTTGTAACACATCATATTGTTTAAAGTTGAATCTTTCTCTGTTGCTCTACCTTCAACGTTTCATGGTACCAGTTTTGTACGTAAAAACATTGCTCTCTTTACTTACATCAGCGGAAATACCAATCTCTTACTTTGTGCATGATTAAACACTGTAGATTACAAAAACTAACCCTAACTGCTTGAGCAGTTTCAAAGAACTGACAGTTCATTAATACAGCCTCTTATTTCTATTATCTGAACTATGGATAGCGATACTTTTAGTGTTTTGTTTTTTAAATCTTTAATTTATCATTTCTTTTCACTGTGGTAACCGTTTGTGCAAGAATGCTAGTGTTCGGTTAAAAAAAAAATACTCTTCCAACTGTTGGAAAATACCCTTTTAATAGAGTAATGTAAAAACATTATATAAAAGTTGATTCTGAATATCCTTGATTTTATTAATTGATGAACAAGCTCTACATTCAAGGCCTATTGTTTTGCCTTAATAATTTGCAAGTTTTTTTTTTTCACTTATAAAGTACATTTTAAATTTCTTTTAATTTCTGAACTAGTCATGATTGGTTCTATTACTAATTAGCACCAGGGGAAGCTAACATAATATTAGCTTCAATTCGATTTTTTCTTTCAAAGCTATGTTATCAGCCTGATTTCCTATTAATAACTTAACTTTTTGTTAAAGATAAATACCACCTTACCCAAGATGCATCTGGAGGTATTTCTTGCTAACATTTTTAGGGTTTAAACTTATATTTTGTAATTTCATAAACCCATTTTTTAATTAAAAAATTTCAATGTACATATACTGTATGATGTATCAGTTTGAATAACATGCTTGCCTCCCCCCCTGTCATTTTCCCAATTTGAGTTCTTTTGAATAAGGGTGTGATGTATCTTGTTTTTTCAATTTGGAACGAAGTGGTACATGTATGTCTGTAGTTGACCTGCCCAATTATGTGTATGTCTGTGTACAGCATGTCAATCTGTTGGATGCCCAATGTCTACAATTAGACCAGAGTTTGAAGGCTGAGCGTAGGCTGCGAGAAGATGAGGTGAGCAGCCTGAGGACTAAGCTAGAGACTCTCATTGCCTCCTCTTCACCCGGTAAGAAATGTGGGACTGAGGAGTAGACCTTACTAGAGCTGGGCGATTAGTAGTACATGCTAATTGATTGACAGGTGGAGTAGGTTTGACCCCCCCTCCCAAATCCCTTTTTATACACCACTAAAGAATACAGTTACACAATTATAAGTATGTATTACATTACGTAGCCAGAGAGTGGGTAATAGTGCTGCTAGCCAGTGGCAAATACGCTTAGTAGAAATATCCTCAACAAACAAACATAATTTTTGTAGTGCACATTAGTGTAGAAAAGACATTTTAATGTTAGAAATAAACAACCTTAAAAAGTGTCAAAAAAATAACCAACTAATTAAAATCAGGGTTTCTGATTAACACCAAATTTGTTATTTTTCTCTAATTGGACACTCAATGTTCATTGGAAACACAAACCATAACTGATAGTACCAAACTAATCGATTAAATTGCCCAGCTCTAAACCTTATTTACACTACATTTAAATTTTCTAAAGTTGTTGCACTTTTTTTTTTAAGATTAACCAGTAATTTAAGAAAAAATAATAAAAGGTCCACAAAAGTTGTATAGATATTACAACGAACAAACATTAGATGGGGGCCTGACTTCAAATAATTAATTCCAATCAGTGTATAAGTATTACATTTTATTATGTAAACCTTGTTTTAATCAAGTAATTTCTAATTTCTTTAATGATAATACATAAAGAAGTTTTACTGAATATTTAAAATAATCCAAACCACTGGTTATATTTGTCTTATACATGGTCCATCACAACAGTGAATTAAACAAAAAATGTTAAATTTTCAACAGGAAGTGAAGAAGACAACAATGAGTGTACAAGTAGAGAGAGAAACCTTACCTCTCATCTCCACCACCCAACAAGAAGTAGTATCACATTCTCCAGACGAGCTTTTGAACCAAAACCACGGCGATCACATTCTCTAGCACTTTATTCAGCTCAAGGTAAGTGGCCGTTATGCTCATTTGAGGAGTTTCGACTAAGCTAGATTCTGCAATTTCTCCGTGGTATAACCTATGATTTCAAAATAGTGTTTAATGTATCTATGTATTGTGTAATGAAACATTGAGAATGGTTTAATTCTGTGGTCCAATCGTTTTCTTTTTTCAGATTTAATGAGATCTCCCAGCTGTCCTGGACTAGATGGACTTCCTGGTATAGAAAAGTGGCGGACCTTGTCTTCTCAAAAGTGTATTACTAACACTCAGAGCAAAACTGAAAATAACTAAAAAAAACAAGATATAATGTGCCAGTTGTTTTCTGAAAGTTGTAACGGGTAACTGTACAAAGCACAGTTGTTTTTTAGTTGTATCATGAGTGGCAAAAAATAATGTAGATTTTAAAACTGGATTTCTCAAAGGTCGAAAAAAGAAATGGACTGAAAGTGTATAGGACTAATTTTATCAAATTAAGCTTACCTTTCCCCATATTTAACTGGTTTCCCCCCATCAGCTTGCTTCTGTAAATGTCTGTAATTAAGCATAATTGGGTTTAGTTGCCAGATATTCAATAAGTGCTTAGGTAGAACAAATCCTGCAACAACAACAGTGCAGATTGTTTTTCTATATTTTTTGTGAATTAATTTTTTTACTGGAGGAAGAAGCAACATAGAGTTGTGCAATAATATTCACTAAATAAACATTTTTATGAAAATATCTCGTGACTATTATGTTCTGTGAAGGGTAGACAATGTCAGTGTTCTGAGAAATAGTTAAACTATTACACAGCTGAAGTCACTACAATAAAATTTCTGTCCATGGTAGTCCAGATAAAATATTCATTTTCCAAAAAAAAATTTTTTTTTGCCCTTCATTCAATCATTGTTATTAAGCATATAAGCAACATAATGGGCTGTGTTGTGCCCACCACAGGTATCAAAACTCAGTTTTTAATGTTGGAAATCCTCCAACGTAATGCTGAGCCACTACGAGGTATTCTTTATCCTTCGGTAGTGCATATATGTATTAAATATACAAAGTGGCATAAATTTATACCAGTTTCATCTTCATGCCTAACATCACCTGGTGGTCAGTACTAGACATTTATCAACAAACGAAAAAAAAGGCCAAGCGTGTTTGAAACATCTCTCACACACAAGTACATGATGTTTTAACGTTCAATGAAAGGCCATCACTACACCTACCATTCATTGGTTAGTAAATTCAATATATCTGATGTTTTCTTGTTTAATTTTATTATCTGCAGTGTAGTGACTTAAATACCCCCTAAGCATTTATATCGGCTATCTACATCGATACTGGACGTGGTGGCCAAAGCACAAAAAAATGTAGATTATACACCTATGATATTTGGGGTGGGGGGGTCCATAACATAACACAAAAGGTACTTGTAAATCTGCAACTGATGAAACCAGTTTAAATATCTTAAGATTTATACTAATAATGCAATTTAAAATGGGTACATATGATGAGTTTTTCCTACTGGAAAACTAAGTTTCGAATCCCGTACTGAATACATCTTTCATTATCGATTGTAGTCAATCTGATGGCCATGGTTAGGCACTATTGTCCAAAACTACAATTCCCACTGTAACAGGCTTTTGGGAAAGATGACACTTCTCATGAATATTTCTTTTTGGAAAGGATTTTTTATAACTATTCAGGCACAAGTTTACCCATGGTTCAACTGTACTGTCAAATCACCAGAAATATGCTATAACCCGTTACACGCGTCACAACCTTCATTTATGGTGACATATCCAAACTGTTTGTACAAAGTGCAATTAACCCTTTCTGCACGAGTCAAAGGTCATATTATTGCATTTGTTGCCTCACGTTTAAAATTTTATTGAACTACTATTTTATGAATTTATGTCAATAAGTTTGGTATCAAACTTTAGATTATAATTCATATTTTAGTATTATACATTACTTATTTTTTTTTTTTTTGTCATATGAAAAACCTTACTGATAAACTGCCAAATTTCGTGAACATACGCTTACTAATTTGAAAGTTATGGCGTGAAAACTATAACAAGCACAAAATGTTTACGAGGTCGTTTCCAGGTGTAATGCTGCCACTAGACTAGCAACAACTGATGAACAAGATAAAAGTAATTTATGTACACACAAAACATAAAACCAGTTTCATTTGGTGAAATATACAAATAAAAATATCTATTGTGTTATGTCACAGTAGAAAGAAAGACAAGCTTTACTTACAGACATCTCCCTAACAGACACCTGTACAGTGTTCCAACAAAACATTTGCTAGTGTATAACGAAAAGAAAATCACACGAAGCAATCTTTGTGCACTGTTCCACTGTACATCTATTTCCCATTTTTCAAACAGCATCCCGAGTGACTCCTGTAATATCATCTGCACTGGTATTCTTTTCCCGAAACACTGTATGATGTAATTTTTTATCATCAATTCGCCTCGTCTATCATCATCTCTGAACGTATTCCTGACAGAAGTTCAATCTATACCAAAGATACTCACCTTAAGGTTCCTTGTTTGTTCTACAATACTTCTTAACACACTGTATTGGGGAAATCACAATTATTTAAGTCTTGTGTCACTTATTTCGAGCCTATTGAACTAAACATGGAGATCCTGAATGAGAAATAAATCACGCTACAATAATGGAGTTACCAGAAAAAATTGTCAACTTTTTCCCACTACAAAATGTGTTTGAATATACTTCAAAAGTTTTACAAAAAATTAAAGTGTCCATACTACTTGTTCAGACTTTAAAACCTACCCAAACACATATATCTGGAATGTTGTAAAGACTGAAACCAATGTTTGAGCTAACCAGAATTTCAATGGCCTCAGAAGTCATTCGGCTAAAGCTTTAACTACATGTTTTCTCCCCATCCAACTTTTAATTATTATTTTTTTGCTGAAATTGTAAGATACAGATTTCATGCCTTTTATACTTACTGCATTAAGAGGGTAAAAAAAAAAAAGTAGCAAGACAAGAGAAAGTACCAAGTCAATACAGTAAGTAACTTTGGAATATGAAAGCAAAGAAAATTTGTTGCCTTGAAATAGAAATATAAAACAAACGTTTTGACGATTAACTCTTTTAAGACTGTCGCACACTATTATGTGATGGCTCTTTCCTGCAACAGTATATTAAAAGTACAAAATCCAAACTTTAGATTTTTGAACATACACGTGATTATCTCATAATGCCAGAAACCAAGACGTTTCTGCTGCCATTCAAAAACTTTGCTTTTAAGTAACTTTAGTGCAAAGATTTTAAACCAAATTTCAGATTAATGTAAGTGTGGATGAATATGATGTAGCATAAACTTTAAAAATCCCTCTTCATCAAGTAACTTAGAAGCCCACTAGCTGAAACAAAAATAAAATCTGTAAAGAGCACATTTTAACCATTCCAGAAACACAATAAAGGTCCACTGGTAAAACACCAATTCAAGTTTAAAGTTACTTTCGAAGTAAAAAAAAACGATTCCTATGCACGTGTCAAAGCCAGTGAACGAGGTACGGTTAAAGTTACTATATGAAACAATGGTTCTTTTACACACGAATAAAAATAAACTTCCAGACAAAAATGATTCATAAAAATGTAAAACAAGTAGCTGGTGAGCTTGCTAATTTTACGACCTTTTTAAAGGATTCAACATACATAGTAAAGAGATACTTTCTTATAACAACAATAAAGGAAGAATCCTTGAAAAAGCCTGGCCATGAAACAGCAGCTCGAAGTTTAAGTACAGTCCATATTTCTTGTGCTAATCTGTAAGCTTCTAAATTTTCAAAAACAGAAGGACATCATAGCTGAACAGCAGTCAGAAGCCCAAAAATATCTGACAGAATGATCACCATTAAATCTAAAGCTACAAGTTCTAGTTCCTTTCCATTTTTTAAACATAAATTTGGTGGCTAATTATGAACATAATGAACTTCTTAAGATAGTTTTAAACAACATGAAAAATCTAAAACAGTTGAATAGAGGATTTAACAATTATGGAACCTCAACGTTTCGAGAATAAGTTTAAAAGATACTCCCCACAATCTGATTAACACTATACATCTACAGAAAATCATGAATGAAAGAAATAACCATTGTTAAAAGTATAAGCACCAAGACTGCTTAGATTTACCAATAATGCCAAAGCCTAGAGAACTGCTAACCACTTTTTTCGGTCAAATGTTTACAATGTTTTGTATATGCACCATTTTTAGAAACTGTTATTTAAAAAAAAAGAATGCAAAATTAACTGATGCATTCTGTACTGCACATGTTAACAAATAACTTAAGACAACATTTTATGACCAATAAAAGATGATGAGGTATGATCTGGAATGGCTTATTATGCCTTGGAGTTTTATTGTTAACTTGATCTAACAGAACCCAGGAACAAAAAAAAGTCAACATTTAAAAGTTTTATATATTTCTCAAAGCATGTTTTAAGCCCAGGGTAACCTAAGTTTGAAACTTAATCAATTACCCCAATTTCCTAAGGAAAACAAGAAGTTTTAAAATCTTCAATCAGCATAACCACCCAGCTCAGCTCTTTATACCAATCAGCTTGCAGTATGTCTCCTCAAAACCAATCAGCATAGCAAGAATGAGCCAGGTGCGGTTGCCAACAGCAATCTGCTGGAACGGGAACAGGATCGGAACAGCAAGCTCGGGTACACTGGACCCAACTGCCACAGCATTCTCAGCAACTACTGCTTATTACTGCGTCTATAGTTACAGACAGTAAAAATCACATGAGATTGAGAAATAAAGGTTCATCAAGCATTTTCAGTTTATTTAACTAATTTTGAAACAGCCCATGATCACAAATATTACCCAATTAGTTAAACAGAAGAAGGTGAATGAAAAACATTTAACAATACCCCCAAAAGCTCGTGATATACAATTTCCACAATTAACTACATTTAGCATACTCTTATTCCAAATAAATTTGCAGCTTCACTTTCCAGCTATTTACACACTTTTTTACAGACATTGTTAAGTTTATTGTAAGTAAGAAATATTCACAGTAGTATAATAACTAATATAGAAGATTATCTGTAGCACAAATAAATATATTGTTCATATTGCTTATTTGAAAGCTTCAATTAGACTAACCTTAAAGTTGTGAAGTCTAAGACATATTTTAAACTTTCACAAACCAAGGTGTTGAACAATATTTACCTATAATGAAATATAGATTAAATGTTTTACATGCATAAAAATTTTAACATACACTACCCTTATCTTACATGAAATTACAATGAAACTGATGATATACAAACAACATCGTGGGCATTCAGACCAGTACACAGTTTTACTCCCGGCACCAAACAAAAAGGGCCCACCTCAGTATTCTAAAGCAGTGACTTAACTGTTATTCATAACTTAAACTAATTTCCTAAGTCAATATCAGCATCAGATAACTCACAAACACTTAGGTAATTTACAGAGTTCTACCAACACAAGTAAAATGTAATTACACACCATTGTAGCTTATAGGGTTATATATGGTAGGCATTGTTTAGTAGAAATATATAAATTTTGGGTGGCTTAATTTTATGTTATTTATACTTTTAACTTTATTACATCTCTTTAAAAGTAACTGCCTTCCCACAGCTGGCTGCAGACAGTGAAAGGCAGTAAGAGTTGAGATGTTGGTGTAAGCACTCAACTCTGTACCCTTATTGAATTTTCCACAACTGCAGACTGGTTTCTCATTGGCATTTTGTTTGATAGATGGGACATCCCCAACGCTTTTGGTTACTATTACCACAGGAAAGTGTGAAGGTTTTTTGTTTTTTAAATAGTGGTTTTAATTTATATATATATATATATATATATATATATATATAACATACTTAATTTTTTACGTTACACTACTAACAACGTACTTTACTTACTAGAGTATACTTAACGTTAAACCTTAACTTATTAAGTAAATAGTATTAATTTA